GTTTGTTCTTTACACATTTCTATTTTTTTTTTTTTTTTTGCTTTTTGATACACTGGAACTCGGTCTTTCTGACGAGTTGCCCCATTGATGCTTATTAAAACGATTTTTCTTTTTGTTGTTGTTTCTTTGAGGCCAGCTGTGCCTTGGTTGAATGGTGGAACTTTTTCCAGTTAATCTTTGCAATATGATACTTTTTGCTTCAATGTTTGTGTTTAATTATACTGTTTGTCCCTAGTCGAGCATTGTTTGGACCGCAGGGCCGAATAGCTGTTCAGTCTGGTTAATAGGCTGCATGGTTGTGCTTATCTTGTAATCAAAGGAGAGTGGTTTACTTGGGTCCAGGTTGATTTTAAGAAAAACAATTGTTTGCCCCCACCTGGAGCTAAGTAAGATTGATATTGAGGATCTTGCTCCCTGGTAGAACTGCCTAAGTCTGTCTCAACTTTGTACTTTGAATAGGATAAAGGTATAAAGAGGTGTCTTACTCAGGTCCAGGTTGATTTCAAAAAAAAATTGTTTGCCCCCACCTGGAGTTAAGTAAGACTAGTGCTGGAAATTTGTTCCTGAGAGAATTTTGGCCAAGTCTGTTCCAACTTTGTTTGCATGGAGCAGTACTGAAGTGTTGATGTGTTTGTACTTAAGAAATTCCGTGATTTCAAAAAAGAAATGATTGTTAAAAAAGAAAAGTTCGTTAGTATGGTTTTCACCAAGCAATCCCATTTGGCTAAGGTCCATTTTAGTTGCCAAACATAATTCCATCAAGCAATTTCACTTGGCATGTTTGAGTGCTAGCCAAAACTAAATTCTATTCAGTCGCTCCGAAATGAAGTTCGTTTGGTTAAAACCAAAGCTAATTCCGTTTGATAAACATCAAAGCTAAGTCCGTTTAGTAAACACCAAAACTAATTCCGTTTGGTAAACACCAAAACTGAGTCCATTTGGTGAACCCCAAAGCTAATCACTTTTATTTGAAATATGCCCCCCAGGGCTTGGATTATAAAGACTGGGTTAAGTAATAATCTGTTTTGACCATAAAGCTGTACAAGTGCTGGAAACAAAAGTTTAAAGAAGTGAGGAAGCATTCTTATTAATCAACAGATAAATGCTTGTACACTTGACTGATAACTTTGAGGGTCTAATCTATTAATAGTACTTCTTGAGTTTGGCTACATTCTAGGGCCGAGGTATGGCCTTGCCCTTAAGATCCTTTAAGTAGTATGCTCTATTTCCAACAATGACTGTGACCTTGTAAGGACCCTTCCAATTAGGTCCTAAGTTCCCTTTGTCAGGCACCTTCTTGTGATCCATGACTTTCCTCAAAACCAATTCTCCAAGTGTGAATTATCTTGGAAAAACTTTTTTATCAAAACTTTTGATAAGCTGCTGCTGATAGGCGACAAGTCTGATTAGTGCTGCTTCTCTTCGGCCTTCCGCCATGTCCAAGGCTTGTGCTATAGCTTCCTCACTACTTACATCTTCAAACAATTCTGATCGAAGGGTTGGTAGACTGACTTCTAGTGGAATAATAACCTCCATTCCGTAGGTCAAGGAGTAGGGTGTTTCCCTTGTTGAGCGTCGCCGTGGTTCTATAGGCCCATAACACATGGGGTAACTCTTCAACCCACTTCTCTTTTTCACTTTCAAGCCACTTTTTTACTCTATTAATGATGGTTTTGTTAGATGATTTCGCCAGCCCATTGCTCTGTGGGTAGCCCGAAGAGGAGTTTCAATATTCAATCTTGAGATCAACATAGAACTTCCTGAAAATCTTTCCATCAAACTGCGTTCCATTGTCTGTAATTAGTACCTGTGGGATGCCATAACGGACCATGATATTCCTTATAACAAACCACTTCGTGTCTACTTCTTTTATGCTTGCCAGTGCTTCAAATTCCACCCACTTGGTGAAGTAGTTGGTTGCAGCGATGAAGAATCGCCTATTTCCAGTCCCCCGTGCCAAAAGTCCAATGATGTTTAAGCCCCACAGAGCGAAAGGCCATGGGCTAGTAAGCGAAGTAAGATTTTTGGCTGGCTGATGAATTAGTGGAGCAAATCTCTGACACTTATCACACTTCTGAACGTCTTGTTGTGCATCTTGTTGTATTTGTGGCCACCAGTACCCATGAGTGAGGGCACCACAAATCCATCGTGAATTTCATAGAAAACATTCTCGACTAGATTTGGATGCATACATAGCAGATAAAGGCCAAAATAGGAGCATCGGTACAATTTTCTAGATGATGAAATCCAAAATCGGGCTAATCGGTGTTGAATTTGATTAGCCTATTTCTTGTCTTCAGGAAAAGTGCCAGATCTTAGAAAAACAAGTATTAGTAGGGCTGGGCAACAAACCCACCCGCCCGCACAAACCGCCCGACCCTACCCTACCCCGCACAAACCGCGAACCGCATCGCGGGCGGTTGCGGGTCCATTTTTCCCCAACCGCATAAGTGCGGGTCGGGTCGTTTTTGACCCGCACCCGACCAAAATCGACCCGCAAGCAGCCCTAAGTATTAGGTCCATCCAGCTTGGTCTGAGGTTAGTGCAGAGGACTGGATCTGGAGATGCGGTGCTTGTTCTGGCACAAACTCAACCCAAACTTTTCTGGCACCTTTAGGCCCCGTTTGTTTGGGGTTATAGGGAGGGGATTGGGATTACTAATCCCTTGGTATTGCTAATAGGGTGTTTGTTTTGAGAGATGGGAAGGGGACTATTAATCCCTTGGTATTAGTAGTCCCCTTGAAAGGGGGATTGATAAGGAGGAGATAGAGATGGTATTAGAAAAATAGTGAGGGGATTAGAATTTTTTTATTTTTTTTATATTGGGATTTTTTTTATAAATATAATGTTTAATTTTTTATATTTTTTTATTTGTTTTGTTATTTTATATAAAAATAATTTAACAATTCCTCACTATTAATCCCCTCACTATCAATCCCTTCACTATCAATCTCCTCACTATGAATCCCCTCACTATGAATCCCCTCTATTCTATCTCTGAAAACAAACGAGGCCTCAGTGTTCACAGATGAGCCAAGGCAGGCAAGGGCATTAACATGATTATTTCTATCCCGATTGATCCGTTCGACTCGTGTGGATTGGAATTTCTTAAGTAAATCTCTTACCTTGTCTGCATACATAACCATTCTTTCATCTCTTGTTTCAGAGACCCCATTGAGTTAGTTAACGACCAACTGAGAATCATTGAAAACCAGGAGTTGATCTACACTGAAATGTTCAGCACTACGCAATCCAGCCAGTAGTGCTTTGTATTTTGTCTCGTTGTTAGAGGCCTTCTTCTATCCAAGTTTCAGAGCTTACTCCCAGATGAATCCTTCTGGAGATATAAGTACCACCCCTGCCCCTAAGCCTCGGTTATTGGATGATCCGTCAACATAGAGCTACCAAATGTCACTAATGAAGAGTTTTCATGCTTCTAAAGCACATTGTTTTCCTAGTTCGGTGGTGCGTGGCACCTGTACCAAGTCGAAGTCCTGATGTTAATGTTCTGGGAGGGGTGAATTCAGCTACAAAATCTGCCAAGACCTAGGCCTTGATTACTGTTCTGGGCTGATATCGTATGTCAAACTCACCAAGCTCCACCGCCCATTTTGTTGTTAGACTCGAAAAATCAGCATGGCCAAGGACAGATCTGAGGGGGAACTCAATGAGGACATTGATAGTATAACCCTGGAAGTAGTGTTATAGCTTCCTTGAGGCAATGAGCAGAGCATAAGCTAGCTTTTCCAACGGTAGATACCGTGTTTCGGCATCTAAGAGAGTCTTGCTGATGTAGTACATTGGTCTCTGTTCCTTTTCAACTTCATGAATCAGTACCGCGCTTACAGCATGGTCTGAAACTACAAAATACAGGTACAGTTCTTCCCCTAGTTCTGGAGTAGAAAGGAAATGTGGTGTACTAAGATACTTCTTGAGGTCTTGGGGTGCTTCGGTACATTCAAGACCCTATTCGAATGCAGCCTTTTTTCTCAATAGCTGAAAGAAAGGCTTCATTCGATAAGACTTGTTAATGAACCGATTTAGGGCGGCTACCATTCCGTCCAGTTTCTATAGTTCATAATCCTTTGTCTGTACTTTGAGTTCTTGTATTGCTTTGATTTGATCTGGATTTACTTTGATTCCTCTGTGAGTTACCATGTATCCCAAGAACTTCCCTATTCCTACCTTGAAAACGCATTTCGAGGCATTGAGGGGAAGTTAATAGGTTTTCAGGATGTTGAAAACTTCTCTCAGATCTGTGAGGTGGTTTGTAGCAAGCCTACTTTTCACTACCATATCATCTATGTAAGCTTCCATAGTCCGACCGAGTTGCTTTTTGAACATTCGAGTTACCATTCGTTGGTAGGTTGCTCTAATTTTTTAAGGCCGAATGGCATTACTTTATAGCAGTAGGTGCCTCTTGGAGTAATAAATGCTGTCTTCTCTTAATTTGGGCCAAATAGTGGTATCTGGTGATAGCCCCTGTAAGCGTCCAGAAAGTTCATACGTTCATGCCCTGCTGTTGAGTATACCAGTTGGTCTATGCAAGACAGAAGAAAGCTGTCTTTTGGACAAGCTCTGTTGAGGCAAGTAAAGTCGACGCAAACTCTCCACTTTTCATTTTTCTTTTTGACTACGACTGTATTGGACAACCACTGTGAGTACTGAATTTCTCAAATTGCCCTAGCCGCTAGAAGCTTGTCGATCTCCGCAATTACTACCTTGGTGTGCTTAACCGAAGATCTCCGGCTCTTCTGTACAATAGGCCGAGCGAAAGGGTTGACGTTGAGCTTATGACAAGCAAATTCTGGATTTAGTCCCGGAGTATCATATGTTGATCATGCGAATACCTCCATATTTTTCCTCAACAAATCCAGCAACGTGCCTAGCGAGGTACCAATAAGAAAGTATTTCTCTGGGTTACCCTCTTTTACTAAAACTTTCTCCAAATCCTCTACTATCTTCTCAGTTGGGGTTCCTCCGACGTCCTCCAAGATCGATTATTCTGCTACTTCAATTATCGGAACCCGATTACAGAGCTGTTTATCCTTCATAGCTGCTATGAAACAATGTTTCGATGTAACTTGGTCTCTTGAAATCTGCTCTACTCCATGTTCTGTTGGGAAGCGAATAAGATGGTTGTAAGTTGAGGGGACTGCTTCTATTTGATGAATCCAAGGCCGACCAAGTATGGCGTTATAAGGAGACGGTGTGTTAATAACCAGGAATTCTAGCTGTAGGGTCTTTGTCCCAGCTACTATAGGCAACACTATCCTACCAAGTGGCCACTCAGGCTGCGAATTAAAGCCAACCAACGATGCTGCTGCTGGAGTGAGGTGCTGCTCAGAGAGACTGAGCTTCCTGAACAAGTCATAATACAATATATCTGTTGCGCTACCCTGGTCTACCAAGACTCGTCTCACATCAAATCGTTTTCCAATTCTCACAGTTATAATTAATGCATCAATATGTGGGTGCTGAATTTCCTCTAAATCCTACTTAGTAAATGAAACAGTATACACAGGGGTCTTAGGTATTGTTCATACCTTTTTCGGTACTAGACCCACTGACATGACTTGCTGAATCTGTACAGCCTTTGTGATTTCCTCTTGAAGTACCTGCTCTCGCTCATGACTAGTTACGCCTTAGATTACATTTATGACCAATCGAGGTAGATACTCTTTGTTTGGTTCTGGTGGAGGATTTCTCGGTTCAGTTACTACTTTGTCCGGATCAATGTATTCTTGGAGAGGCCCAGCAGTTACCAAATCCTCCAGGTGTTACTTCAATGCTTGACAATTTTGAGTCATATGCCCCCTATCCTGATGATAGGTGTATCTGAGCTTCTGGTTGTGCTGAGCTGGGTCTCCTAGCATCTTTAGCGGCCAAGTAAAGAACGGTTCTCTCCTGATTTTCTCTGTAATGCGATAAATAGGTTCCTTGAAGACAGTAATAACTGCTTTATGGGATTTAGACTTATCTACTTCATTCACTACGATTCATCAGGGTTCCCCTCGGTCTGCCCTCCTTTTATTTCCTCGAGTTATTTGTTCGGCCAATGCCACCTCGATGGGGATCTGATCATCTTCGAGACGAGCGTGCTGCTCAATCCTGGCACGTAAGCCCTTCAGTGCTGTGGCTGGTCATTTGGTAAGTGATTGTCTTAGCTTACTTTCCGGACGTAAACCATGTTTAAAGAACATTACAGCCATCTGTTCGCGGAAAACATTTTCCTCCAAATCATTATACTCTTCTCAGTACCTTCTTGCATAATGACGTAGTGTTTTCTCCTGTTCCTTTCGGAGACCAAACAAGGTGTCCGGCTCTTTCGGGATTTGGTATTGGAGACAAATCTGGCCAAGAACTCATCAGAGAGTTGCTTCCAATCGTAAATTGATCCAGTAGGAAGACGATCGAACCATCGGAGTCTGGATTCTCCTAGGTTTGATGGAAAGACTTTGCACATTAGTGCCTCATCTCGGCTCCACAGAGACATCATCTGTCGATAGTGGCTGATGTGTGTTAATGGGTCTAACTTCCCATCATATGACATGAATTTTGGTGGAGTGAACTTCTTGGGGGGTTTCATCGCTTCAATATCTAGGGAGAAAGGAGTGGAGACGAGCCGATCTAGTGCTCGGTGCTCTCTCTGATGGATAGTGCGATCAAGGTGTTAAGTCTAACGCTCTCGTCGTTGCTCATTTTGTTTGTTCTTGACCAACTAGGTACGGAGATCCTAAGGAAGATACTCTGTCTACTGACTGGTCGTTTTCTGCCTCTTAGCTCTCACCCGGCATGAACCATGAGTGTGGCTGCTCGCTGCTCCACTTTGCACCGGGATTGACTGACTTTTCTACCTAGACTCATTTCTGGGGACTTTCTTTATGGGTGGTTCCAAGAATAGGCCCGTCCGGCACAGATGAGAGGGTTCTGCATCTGTCATCTTCTCCGTCAGGTCGCCCATCATCCTTTTGAGTTGCGCTTTTAGTTCCTGTATCTTCATTCCCATGGAATTGATGAGACGATCTCTATAATCTTTTTCCAACAGAAATAGCGAGAAAAACCACCATCAAAGGGCTGTCGATGCTCACAGATTCTGGAGTTCGGTTGTTGTTTTTGGTCTGCTCCTCTAGAACTGTGGGCAACGCCAAGCCTTTATCCTTCGTCTTCTCCGTTTGTGGAGTCAATACAGAGGGTGGAATATCCTCAATTCTCATAGCCGGAATCAGATGCAGAACTCAGAGATGAAAAGTCTATGCTCACCACACCAATTGTGCATACTGAATACTGCACTAGATGATTGTAGACCGGAGCTCCGCACCTGATTGGACTATCCAGGAACAAAGACCCTGTAACAATGAGCACCGTGAGAGCTGCCCAACCGGAGTTGGCCGGATAACTCCTCCAGTGTAGGAGTAAGTAATCAGAGAAGATAGAATGTGCTCTCTAGGTGTAGAAAGTTGTGTTTAAGTGAGTATAGTTCAGCTCAACTTAGTTATTTCCAATGTGAAGTGAGTGGAGTTTATATATATGATCCCTTACTTGTTGCCCAAGATGGTTTCATGAAGTTTTGGTGCTGCCAAGCTCCCTCTAACATTGCTCAAGGTAGTGGACCACTAGGTAGTTGACAATGAATCCATATACTCATTGTAACCATGCTTATAATAGATCACATTCCCTTACTCAACTACTTTCGTGATTCTAAGGAGAGGGGACCAGCTGAGGTGGTAGCCTGCACATGCAAGTATTCATAGCTTCTACGTTTCCCTGAGAGGTTCCCTCAACTCGGTGTCGTTGTGCCCCGACTCGGGCTTTCACTAAGCTGTTTTACAAATATGGGCTGGCCCAATTAAATATCTTTGTGTGGGTTCATCCCACTTTGGTTTTTGATGATGGATTCAGCCCATCAGTTCGGTCCGTGAATTAAGTCTTGCTGCTCGGCCCAGCCCAGTATCGCGGCTGGACTGGCCTTTCCACTGCAAGTTAGGCCCAAGTGTTGATTATGGAGTTGGGCTTGATTAGCTTGCCCATACATTCACCTAACCCACTGAGACTTGAATTTAATGAATTAAGCCGGCCCAAAGTTTAGATTCGATCCATTTATATCCTACTCCTTCAAGAAGTTATTTTATAACTGCTATGATAGAAAATAGCTTAGTGGGGTACCAAAATATGGGTGGTTGACTATTTTTACTATTAAATCTTTTTACTAGCTGACAAAAAAAATTAATATATATGAAAATTATATAATATATGGGGCTTATTATAGGAAAGAAAACAATGAGACAAAAGTGTCAACATCACCACAGGGCTGCCCTATATATATATATATATATATATTAAATAAAATAAAAAAAGATTTCACTTTATGTAAAAAATAAAAATAAAAATAAAAAATGAGTCGTTGACACAAGTGATATGTCTGTGATTAAAGTAAATAAAATTACAATTAATATCATAAAACTGCTAATAGTGTTCTTTCTTAAAGTAAAGGTCTTGGTCTAAACTTTTGGGTAGTGATTCATCCCCCGAAAATGGGGAGTCCGAATCCCCCTAATTTTCATTTCAGGTAAAAAAAAAAAGGAAAAAAGAAAGAAAAAAAGAAAACAGTTTCCAAAATTGTGGATTAGGGGGCAACTTTTTAGGGATACAAATCATTTCCCTAAACTTTTATGCATCTATTTATATAAATAGTTTTATTTTAAATAGAAAAATGAGAAACACGTTATATAAAGATAAACAGGCATAGGCTTGAACACCATTTCAGTAAAACAGGCAAATACTAATTACACAAGCATTGCACCCCCCTTGCCGTTTTGAACTTGCAACCCACGCCACAGAATTGCACCCATCATATTTTGCTAATTTTTTTTTAGACCCACAATAATTGTTTTGATAAGAGATGCATTCATATATTAGTTTTTAGAAGAAATAATAAATCAATGATAATTAAAAAAAATAAATATCAATCTAATAAAAAAATTGACAAAATTCCTTTTACCCACCTTAGAGCACTTTACACTCCTATGATTCAAATATAGGCAAAAACCTCTTTTATAATTTTGGACTAAAGTACTACCATTAATTTTTTTTCGTTAAATATAACGAAAGGCGTGTTACACACTCTCAAATTGAGAGTGGACATTCAAAAGTTCAAGTCAAAATAAAAAATTGAATCAAATGTCAATAATACCCTCATATTCATCTTATTCTCTAATTGAATATTAATCCGAACCAAACCCTAGCCCTAATTGTCATCTTTTATATTAAAAAAAAATTAACTTAATTTAAAATAATATTAAATCAGAAATTTGGTTAAAAATTAAATAGTATATTAAAGTAATTTTTGGTAATAAATTAGAATAATTAGGTTAATTTATGGTTTAATTTAACATATATACGTAAACATTAAAATTAAAAATTAGATTAATGTAATTTTATGATTTAATTTTATGGTAATAAATTAAGTTATTTACGTTAATTTCTTATTTAAGTTGTTAAATATATATTTATATGTCTAATTTAAAATGTGATTAAATGAGATAATTTTTATAATTAAGGTGTTTAGTTTAATTTATGATTTAATTTGTTAAATATATGTATTCATATGTTTAATTAAAATGTTATTAAATAAGGTAATTTTATGGTAATAAATTATGGTATTTAGTTTAATTTATAATTTAATTAGTATTATATATATATATATATATGCTTATTTTAAAATTTTATTAAATAAGAAATTAGATTAAAAATGAAAAAATAGATTAAGATAATTTTATGGTAATAAATTAAGGTGTTTAGGTTAATCTTATGGTTTAATTTACGGTGATTTTATGTTTAATTTAAAATGTTATTAAATAAGAAATTGTGTTAAAAATTAAAAATTAGATTAAGGTAATTTTATGATAATAAATTAGGGTGTTTAGTTTATTGTGATTTTATTTGTTAAATATGTGATTAAGATAGAAAATTATGTGTATTAAAGAAGAGAGAGAGAGAGAGAGAGAGAATATACCGTAAGAGTATTTAGGTAATTTTGCTCTTATTTTTTAATAGAGTTAACTTTGCACATTAATCTAAAATTATAAGGGGATTATTTGCATATATTTAAATTATAAGGAGGTAAAGTGTTCCAAGACAAAATCACAAAAAAGTAAGTGAATTTTGCCCAAAAAAAATTGTGAGTTGCACTTTTAATAAATCAGTGGCAACTAATGTATTTCCATTATAAACACAGAGTGAAGATGTTAAAAAAAAAAAAAAAAAAGGGAAGGGTTTTTTTTTTTTTTTTTTTTTTTTTTTTTTTTTTTTTTTTTTTTGCATACCCGTGCTTTTCATAATGGTTTTATGTGAAGTTCTGTCGAATTCATCTTTAATTTTCTGATTGTGCAGGCTTTGTTTATACTTTTTTAGGTTTTTTTTTTAATTTTTTGAAAAAATGTGTAAAAATATGAGAGATAATGTAACTTCTAAAATGAGTTAAAAGTTTAAAGATGACTTTTAACTATCTTTGTAAAATAGCTCAAAATAAGTTAAAAAATTAATAAGACAAAATATTATATTCAAATCATAATTATTTCACTTTTTCTCTCATAAAAGTTTAAAATTTTAACTTTAACAAATTTTTTAACCCTAAACGCCAAAATTCAAATGATCTGTGGGAGCTTATTAAAGCTAGAGTGGCAATGTGGTTGAGGATACATGCAATTAGCAAACGGCGTGTTTGATTCAAGGGATTGGGGGGATTCTTTATTGTTCGGATTGCTCATTTAATGGAGGGGGTCGTCCATCATTTGGTGCAATTTTAGTCCATCAGACATGGAGTCCGATCGGACTGCATGTCCCTCATATGAGGGACTAAACAATCTTAAGGGGGTGGGATTATTTCCATGAGATTGGTATTCCATGGGACTAATATGTGAAATATTCATTTTACCCCTCATGCTATTACTTAGTAAACAATTGGAAAATGGTAAAATAGTCTTTTAAACATTTATAAATTATTTTTTTAGTATTGTTAATTTAAAATTATATATTAAATAAAAATATATAAATTATAAATTATAAATTTAATTTAATTAAAAATAATAAATTAAAAATTATGGCTTTATAAATTAAATTTTTTTAGTGTTGTTAAAAAATTAAATTTATATGTTAAATAAAATTATTTTTTTAGTATTGTTAATTTAAAATAACAAATTAAAAATTATGGCCTTATAAATTAAAAAAATTTAGTGTTGTTAAACTATAAATTATAAATTATAGATCACAAGTTTAAAATTATATATTAAATAAAAAATACAAATTATAAATTGTAAGGGTAAAATAGTCTTTTGAGCATTTATCTTTATCCAGTCCAACCAAACATTAAATTCACTAAAAATAGTCTTGTCCAGACATCTAATACATGAGAAAACAAACACGAGATATACATGATTCAATCCAACCAAATAATCCAAAAAATTCACAGTCTTAAGATTTAAGTTTTGATAGATTCTAACTTCTTATCCAATTCGTTCAATCAAACACACCCAAAGTGTACTCTGTCAATGACTTTATTTAGCCTTCGGCTAATTTAGTTCTATTAGA